GCGAGCCTCCGCGTCCCCGGGCGGGCCGCGGTAGGGCCCGGCGGCGCGGGGCGGGGGCCATGCCCTGAGGGACGTGGAGCGCCGCGCCAGCGTCGGCCGCGCCCCTCGGGGTGCCCGCCGCCGCCGCTATGGCCGGGCCCGGCCTGTGGAGCAGCATCAAGTCCGCGCTGCGGCGGAGCGAGCCGCCCCTGTTCCTGAACGACTCCAGTGCCTTCGACTTCTCGGACGAGGCGGGGGACGAGGACTTCCCCCGCTTCAACAAGCTGCGGGTGGTGGTGGCGGACGACGCGGCGGAGGCGGCCCCCGAGGCTCCGGCCAACGGGCTGCACCCCGCGCCGCCGTCCGACGACGAGTCCGCGGCCGAGCGGGACATCGCGCTGCGCGGCGGGCCCGAGCCCTGCGGCCGGTGCCGCAGCCGGAGAGAGCTGTGCAAGCTGCGGCGCGTCAAGAAGCGGCTGACGGCCGCCGCCGCCCTCTATCTGCTCTTCATGACGGGGGAGCTCGTAGGTGAGTCGGGCGCTGCTCCGGCTTTTGCGTAAGAAGGGAACCGTTTGCAGCTCGGAGCGATTAGCGATAAGGCCCGGGGGGAGCGGGAGCGAAGTCCAGTCGTGCTTTCCGTGCAAGGAAAGAAAGGAGAACTTGCACCTGCCTTACCTGAAGCTCATCGCCTCCCCGAAATGGCACAAAGTGGGCATTTTGTTGGCTCGCAGCTTTGTATTGCTCCTGTTCTGTAAGTTTCTAAGGTCTGATTGTCAAGGGAGGACTGCGTGCTGTCACACGGGTATGCATGAAGGATGGGTAATTTTATCTCCAGTGTTTTTTAATTATTGCCATAAAATCTTGCTGTGTTTGCAAGGACAGCAGGCAAATAGAGTTTCCAAGAGTGACGTTAACATAATGACAAAACCTATATTGGGATTTATCTCTAGCTGTCAGATCCAGTGATGTAGTCTGGAAGACAAACTGCCCAACAGTGCAGTGCAGAATGCTCTCTTGACAACTTCCTGATGTCCCACGGTGCTCTGGACCAGTGTGTGCTCCAACCAGACATAAAACATATGATCCAAGTTAGAACAAGCGACGTTTTAACACTTCACAGTGTTAAGTTCCTTGGTTAAATCACGTTAGCAGTTCACACTGCAAGTTCCTTGGTTAAATCACGTTCTTTGTGGTTTTTGTTTGTTAGTACTTGGAAAAGATCTGCTGGTTTTACCTAGAAGAGTGAGTCTGGTGCTCAAGTTCAGCTTTTATTACTCTCTCATAAAGGCATGCTGTCATTTGCTATTAAGGTTGAGTAGAACCTGTGCATAATAGAGCAGTCTGTACAAAACACAACTGTATTTAGTGGCTACAGTGACAGGGCTTAACATAAAATTTAAGGTCTGAAGTCCTCCGGATGGTATTAAATGTTATGGTATTAAATGTTATGCCTTTGCCATTATCTACCCATTTTTACGAGGTGTACTATTTATCTTTGATCACTTACCAATGCAGTATCAATGCCTGTTACCACCTGGTTTTGGATCTGCCCATGATGTTCAGTGCAAGCACTTGAGGCTGCTCAGCCACCTGCAGAATGCTGAAACTCCTTCATTTTGGCTGGTTTGAAGCAGCAGGGAGTGATGCACAGTGCCTGGACGGGATGCACTGCACCATCAGTTATTAGACAGTCTGTTAACTTGAGCCCAATCTTTTTAGCAGCAGACAATGATTGACAACTAATTTCATTCAAATTGCTCACATTTTAACACACAGGTCCAAATAATAGAAAATTTAGTGTATTTAGTGGCCATAATTCACCAGCCAAAAAAACAGAAGAAATGAATTTGAAGGAAAGATGCCTCAGGTATTGTACCACAAAATGATACCGTTTGTCCCACATTCATAGAGCAAAATAAAAAGTGGTATGAGAAATGGCCATTTTTTTCAGAAGGAGAGCAGATAACTGACTGCATCTGCACCGCAGTTTTGTTTGCGCCTTGTTTCAGGAATGTGGGTTAAGAGAAAACAGTGGCTTTGTCTCTCAGCACCTCGCTTTCAATGTGCGGTTAATCGTTAGTAACACTGGCACAATGCATCAGCTCATCACAGATCAGCACTCGGCTTCAGGCTTGCAGGGATCTGGTTGAATGCCTTCATTTGCCTCTGGCTCTTTTTTCTCTGGCTGAGATTTTGGCACAGTGTGAACTCAGGTAAATTTGATGAGGGATTAGTGTTAGTGTAGTGTTGCTTCTCAGCTGTGGACATCATTTGTGGTAAGCGTGACTTCATTTAATTGTACTCACATAGCATTCTGATACACACTGAATTTAGTCCATCTGAAGGGCACAATGCTGAGTAATGTTCCTGAGCTGTTGGCAGCTTGATGCTGAAGTCACAGAGTCTGTTTTCACACTGTTGTAGATATCTCCATATCTAGTGCCTGGTCAGCTCCAGAAATAATAGGTGTTGAGAGGAAAAATATCACTGTCACTTTATCCACTGTTTCTCCCTTACGACCAGGACTTCTGCAGGCTCAGGTCAGAGTGACTGATTTCTCCTTATGAAGCATTGCTGCTGTAGTGTGGACTCATCATTCTCAGGTTCCTGTATGCGGTTACCAGCCCTGGTGCAGTATTTGGGCACTGCGGCAGACAGCGCTGAGGCCCAGACCCATAAAATATTCAGGCATCCAATTTCCAGAGAGAACAAGTAGGACTTGGGCATCTGTGCACTTTTGTAGGTCTTGACGTGAATACCTTGTCATATGGCAGGCAATCAGCAGCAGAATAAGTGAAGAAGAAGCGTGCAAGCCCTAAGTCAGCACACTAACTGTTCTGTGTATTTCACTCTGGCCCAGGGTTGAGTTCTGACCCATTTGGTTTGAAATTTTGGCACTTTTTAGACAAACCTATAGCCAAAGTATTTGGGAGACTTTGGCTATGTGGGACATTAACAGACCTCTTCCTGTTATCTTTGCCAGATTTGAATTTCTGCAGGAAGGGCAGAAGAGCCTGTCAGACAATTTGGTAGAAAACTTTCTGCTGTCTGGTACCAATGTCAAGATGAAGGAAATTGTGTTCCAGCAGCTGCTTTGTGAAATCTCAATTGGCATATGTTTTTTTCCAATTACTGCCAAGCTCATGAATCCAGCCCACATCAGTGTTGGTTGCTTAATTTGAAGAACAGTCACTGTAGAAGTCAGATCGCTTTGTGGGAACTGTTTTGCATGAAGAAACAGAAAACAACGCAAATCCAGTCACCTTCCTTGACAGCTTTTTGATGCATTCAGTTATGTTCAGAGATTTCTAATTGATCATTCACAAGGAGGACTGCTGTCCTTCACAGGTTGGTGAAAACAGTGGTGAGCTTTCAAGGCTTCTTCATGAAAGTTGTAGATGTCTGTTTTCCTGTTTTCTCCCTCTCAAGTTGTTGATTGTGTTTCAGCAGCCCCCGGGCAGCACTTCGCCAAGCAGTGAACCTATGTAGTGGGAAACAGAGGGCCTTCGAATTCAGAATTTCATTCATCTCAATGATACTTTCTCGATCACGTGCTCCAGTAAGACTACTTTTAATATCTGAATTCTCTGTTTATGTAGTCTCTGGAGAGACTAGCTGAAATGGAGTTGGCTTACCTTGGGCTGAAGCACTTCTCAATTTCATACTCATGGATTAACATATGTACTGTAAATGATCATATGCAGAAAGCATTGAAGTGAATGTCCTTAGACGTAATTGTTTTATTCTGTGCTGACAATAGAACAGGCTGAGTTGCACATTGCTAGGACATATCTTCTGAAATTATGTGAGAAAGCAAATTATCTTTGAGCTGTGATGGCCTGTGCAGAGTTTCAACCTCTAAGTTTCACTCTGAGACTTAGAGACATCTTAATAAAGGGGTTGGGGGACAGGAACAGGTGGAACAGAGGTAGGTGCAGTCAGTAGTTACAGGCAGAACAAGGAACCCCCGCAGTGTCAGCCTTGCTATTTGTGTGGCTGGGAAGAAGGGCGTAGCTCTGCAGGTGGGCACTCCCAGATAGATGGCTGCACATGTTTTTCACTGATCTTGAAAGCAGTCAGCCTGCTGTGAATTTCCCTTCACTCTTTCCTCGTGGTCAGCCTTTTCACTAAGAGGCTTTTAATTGCGTACAAAGATACCTTTACTCGAGATATGTTGGCTGGAGCCTGAAGCCTGCCAAGTGGCACGCCAGCTGCATGCTCTGCTTGCTAGAATCTCCAGTTTGAATGATCTCAAAGTAAAATGAGAAATGAAGTAATAGTTGAGCTGACGCTGGAGATGTGGTCTTTTCTGAGAAAATGGGGTTATCTTCATGCAGATGGAAGACGACACTGCCTGTCCTTGACTCCCCATTTGGATGAAGGTTGCCTGAAAGAGAGGCGCTTTGTTAAATCTCTCAGCCATCTATCTGCTGTTGCATTTAGCAATGGAATCGGAACAAAGATATTGACCTTCGATCTGATGTTGTTTGTCTCCATACAGCTCATAATCATGAAAAAAATATGGTAATAAATAAGAAAGGAAAATGGTGTGAAAGTTATTGTTGGCAATATACAGTAGCAGAATTTATACACCTCTGCCAGGACATGGAATGGTGAAGGTTAAAAGATAATGCAGTAAAAATAAGAAGAGGGAGGGGTTAATTACTGCCAGCAAGTTACTGGATTTCTGTCCTTGATCCATTATGTGAAAATATTTAACAATTGTAGTTCAAATAAAAAGCATCAGCCAATTAAATATATGCAATAACATACACAGAAGAGATACTAAATTAGTTCGCAAATGTTATCAAGCAAGAAGTCTCAGTGAGACTAACAGGACTAACTCCTTTCTGTGCAGCTCTCATGGAAAGCATGCTTCACTGCATTTCTAACTATGGTAGCTTTAAATTATAGCGTGGCATGTTGATCATAATGGCAAAAGAATAGTCCTGCTCAGTGATGAGTGGTACTTCATGTACTTAGTGCACTGTTCTGAAAATAAGTAACTGAAAGTTGTGCCATGAGGACAGGATCCAGAATCACTTACCTGTCTTGACTGTTCCAACTTTGTTTTCAGGTGGATATGTTGCTAACAGTCTAGCAATTATGACAGATGCACTGCACATGTTAACTGACCTTAGTGGTATTATTTTGACCCTACTTGCTCTCTGGCTGTCTGCAAAGTCTCCTACAAAGAGGTTCACTTTCGGATTTCATCGCCTAGGTATGTAGATATCAGCTTTTGCTAGTATTTTAAGCAATAATGTTAAAAATATGTAATTCTAGAAGAAGGGGCAACTGGAAAGAAATCAGTAACAAACCTAAAAGTAACTTTAGGTTTAACAGTCTGTTGTGTATCCACTGCATGGGATGTATTGCCACAGGGGAATAAATCATTTGATCAGAACAGTACAGCTGCTACATCTGGAAACAAAGTCCTGTGAAACGTGATTAACAAATAATCCTGAGCAAACTCCCAGAAGTAAAAAGTTCTATAGAGTTCAGGATCAGATAGCTCTGCAAGAAGTCTCATAAATCACTATTCTTCTTGCACAAAGAAGAAATCAAGATGTCCCTTCACGTCCAGTACAAAAAGTTACTTAACTTGTGCCCATTTTGGGTACTTGTAGAAAGAAACATCAGCAGAAATATGTTGGAAGGGTAATTTCAGACTCATTACTTCACATTTGGAAATGTAATGATGATAAAGGGTGCTTTCACGTGGTTGCCATCTGTACTGGATATTAATTACTTAATTTACAATATACAGGTGAAGGTCTTGACTTGTAGGCATTTTCTCAAAAGTTTGAATGTATGCTGCATGAAATAGATCATTTTGGATGTTATGGCTTACTACCTCTATGCTTTCTATATGGTATTTTTTCAAGGAATTTCAAACTCTTATGCTGCCATTACTGTTAATTCTTATGATGGCTGCCAGAACAGCAGTAGAATTCAACAGCTCCATCACTCCTAGTCATTTGTCATCAGTTAGTCACTAATGCATGAATGCATAACTGTACACCAGCAAAGATCTTTGGGCTTTAGCAAGAAAGCATTAACAGTGCCAGCATTTCCCATTACAAACTTTTCTTTCAAGAAGTTTTAATTTCGTGATGAGAGTTCCCTGTAATACTGAAACCTGATCTTGCAGGTATGCCCCTGGCATTTGTTCATGCTTTCCACAAGGATGTTTGCTAGCATGTAGACATGCCTTAACCTCATTTAAAAATAGCTTGAGCAGTTTATGTATTTGTAACTCTTCAAAAACCAAATAGTACAAAGGAAGAACATGACATAGCCCTATAACAGAAATGGTTCTTAAGGAAAAAAAAATAAAGTTTTATCATATATTACTCAGTTTTATAAATTTTCACTTACTAATTCAGGATCTCCGTAGCGCTCTGCAAACAGGAATCCCTTTGGATCTCTGCCACCTCACTTTAAAAACCAGCAAAAAAAATCCCCAACTTTTTTCTTCATTTTATTGCCAAAGAAAGTACTGGCCAGATTGATCCAGTGGTGGCCTGTATCTATATCACCCATCATTTTCTCCCTGGAGAGCAGAGGACTTCTCACTCCTGCAGCAATTCCTCCTTTTTCTGCTGCCCAGTGACAGGAGGTTGCCAAGCACCAGCTGAGGTTGCCCAGACCGGTCATGGAGTCTCCCTTGCTGGAAATGCTCCCAACCCAATGTCCTGGAGCAGCCTGCTATCATTGGTCCTGCTTTGGGCAGGGCACTCGACTAGACCAGAGGCCCCTTTCTACTCATCCACCCTGTGTTAGCAGCCACAGCACAGGGATCTGTGTAGGAAGAAAAGGACTAGAGCCTGTGAGAGTGGGAAGAGAGCTTCTGTGACTGCAGTGAGGAAGGAGAGGTTGATAAGGATTCTGCAAGAAACCCTCAAAACGTTGATCTGGGCCCTGTGAATGCTGATGATGGGATGGTTGAAAAACGACGGTACACAGGTGGTTTTTTGAGAAGCTTATTTGCCTGATTTTAGGCACCCTTTCTGAGTGGCCTGAGTGCACAGTTTCACACATCAGTGAACACTGCCAATAGAACAGTGCTGAGTCTGGGCTACGTGTTTGCTGTAATACATTTTTCCAAATATCATGTGCTGTAAGAAGCTTGTCAGCAAAATGCGAGTTCATCAATAGCCTGAATTTCATGAGATGTTAAAACATGACAGAATGTTAAAAATAGGGTACAGATAGAGCATCTGTCACAGAAAAAAAACATGCATCTGCTTAAAGCTGGGAGTATGCACTAGAATTGCCTCATAACCAGTCTGCTTTGCATTGCATTTTAAGGTAATCTGTACATGCACTAAGCACTAAAATGTGCCAGTAAATAGTTTCCAGTGCTCCTTTTCACTTTTGTTTGCAGAACCATGAATTGTCACGCTAGTACCCATAAATGCTGCTTTGTAAAGACAGCAGGCCTATCAGTTGCCTGCTCAAATTCCAGCAGAAAGCACTGCTTTTTATCTTTCTGAATATATAATATGTATGCTCCATCTTTAGTTTCTTCCATTTTGTATGGTGAAAGGGAAGCTGACATCCAGGAATGAGCTAGAGAAGATGAAAAAAATGAAAATTGCAGTCTTATCTGAAAAGAATTATATTCTTTAAGCCAAAAATAGCTCTGTTTCACTGAGTGGAGATACCTCCTTCTCAGAAAGACACTGAGCAGATCTAAACACAGATATGGAACTTGGCATCCTTCCACTGCTGCAGAGACAGCGTCAGTAATGACAGATCCATCAGACCATTGATACAGTGCATGCTTCATTTCACAAGTGAAAGATCTTAGGACAAATCTATAGTGTCAACATGATGATGACTCTGTGAAAGCTACTGCAAAGAACACACTGGTTTCCACTGCAGAAAGTCTGCTTTTAGGTTGTAAAACTGCAGTATGTTATTTCTCTGGTAAAGACCAGCGTACTGCAGTTTAACAAATTCAACCAACAAGAAGAAGTGTTCTGAAAACTGAAGAAATGCCTTAAAATACATTAAAAAAAAATGGCTGTTGGCCTGAATAATCTGCCTGCTTTGTAAAGAAAGCTTCCACTTGTGTGGATGTTTCCCGGATTCGACATTGCTCTGAAATCAGGGATTATGGTGGTTGCCTTTCAAGGCCTCGTTACTGCCTGGTGATGCTGGTACTCATCCAGGCACTGACACACTGCTGAGCAGCTGACTGCAAGGGTGTGAGTTTCTTCTCCAACAGTGATGTCACCAATTCAGTCTATGGATCAAATCATTCTGATGCTGTGAAATGCATGGTCAGTATTGTAATAACGCCTTCATTTGATGAATAAAGTTATTCAATCAATATTCTTTCTGCTATGGGCTGACTAATAGCTGATTCCTGGGGAATGTATCAGGGCAAAATACGTGGGACCAGAGGGGAGAACAACAGTTAGAATTCAATGCAAGTAAATTCCAACCTTGATCTTCAAATTCACAAAGGAAGGTTAAGATCCCAGTGATCCATCTGATAAGTGACAGTGAGCACAAAAGGACGTGTCATCTTTAGATCTAGCTTAACACTGTGGTTCTATGATTATTATTTGTGAATGTTACTTATGGTTTACTGGCTGTTTATTCATATTGTTGGGCACATGAAGGTCTGTCCATAGTACAAATAGGAAATAGAAGTAGACCTGAGGCTCACTTTTATGATGTTCTTTCCTTTCTGTTTGCAGAAGTATTGTCAGCCATCATTAGTGTGTTGCTGGTCTATATCCTTATGGCATTCCTGTTGTATGAAGCAGTTCAAAGAACCATCCATATGGACTATGAAATAAATGGCGATATCATGCTGATCACAGCAGCTGTTGGTGTTGCAGTTAACTTAATGTAAGATCTCCCTTTCTCTTGACACTCAAATATATTTTGAATAAGCTGTTAATTCATTAATGGCCTGTAACTTTCTCATGGGATGTCATTTTGCTGGACCTCTTCCTCATAAAATGAGACAGGAAATGATACCTCTTTTTTTGTTCTGTTCTGAATTAAAGAAATTAAACAAAAAAAAAATCACAAAAAAACCCACCCACTCAACTCTCAAGCCCGTTTCTTGGAGCATTTTTCTTTTTCCAATTTCAGAATGGGTTTTTTGCTGAATCAATCTGGACACCTTCATTCCCACTCCCATTCCCACCCTCACTCCCACGTACCTCAGTCAAACTCTCCTAGCACAGCCCGCAGCAGCGGCCACGGACACAGCAGCCTTGCAGTGAGAGCAGCATTTGTACACGCCCTTGGGGACCTGGTACAAAGCATTGGTGTGCTTGTAGCTGCGTACATCATACGCTTCAAGGTAAGGAATGGCTAATTTTGAGGCAAGGTGTGATTTTTGTTTCAACTGTAGTTGTTACATCAAAATGGACTTATTTTTCTAAGCGATTAAAATGATACACTGTGTTCTATTATAAGCTTCATATAGTCATGCAAAATAAGCAGAGGCTGTTATGTGTTATGTAATTATTCTAACAAAGAAATACAGAAGTTTTAGCTCTAAGTAACTATTTCTGAGTTACGTTTATAAATAAACTTACTTTCATGCATCTTTTTAACACTCTGGACCTTCCTTTCCAGCCAGAATACAAGATTGCTGATCCTATTTGTACATATGTGTTTTCCATACTGGTAGTTTTCACAACGGTCCGAATTCTGTGTGATACGGGAGTTATAATTTTGGAAGGTGAGATCCTCACAGCATGCAGCGTTTCATGTGTTTCAAGGCCAGGCTGGATGTGGCTCTGGGCAGCCTGGTCTGGTGGTTGGCACCCCTGCACATAGCAAGGGGTTGAAACTAGATGATCATTGTGGTCCTTTTCAACCCAGGCCATTCTGTGATTCTATATGTCAAATGAAGCACTGGCACTTGGATGTCACAACCACCATCTCCAGCAACATGGGCTGTGTCTGGAATTTGTTGATCTTGCTTTAGGATTTCAGTTTTTTTCAGTTCAGATTTCAGTTCAACTCATCTAAGTTGCAGCAGTCTTCAAGAGTCTTTGACCTTTACCAGAATGACACAGGTCTTAGCACTGCTCACAGTTTACCATCACGAGACAGTAGAAGTAGAATTTATAAAACTTTCAGCTAAAATAAGTAAATGTCTGCCCAGTCTCAGCTACACAGTTTGTGTAATTACTTGTAAAGTTAACGTGAACACATGTAAAAGGAGGAGACAGATTCATAGTATTGCATGCATGTCAGATAAGACTGGAAATAAAAACCAATATGAAAAGGAAAGAGGCAAAGAAAAAAAAGCAGCAGAACATACATAAGTTTGACTTTTGACCTCTTGTGGTGACTTGAAGGGAAGAACAACATTCTTCTTGTTTGCCAGCAACATTCTTTGCATTCTTGTAACTAACCTGCCCATGTTACTGCTTAATCCAGTACTTTCATGTAGGGATGAGGAAAAAAAAAAAAAAAAAAAAAATTCTTGTTCTTACCTGCACCATCCCATCTGTTTCATATGAATTATTGCCGACTTCTGCAATCAAAAGAAAAAAAAAAAAATCTCAAAATCTTCAATGCCAAATGCTTGTGTCATTTAGGAAAAGAAAAAAATGGATTTTCACCATGAAGGCGAAAAATGGTAAAATACACTTAAATCTCATTTAGTTCCAAGGCAACAGCTGAGATTTAGCTGAATAGATAAAGCACACTAATGGGGTACTGAATTCCAGATGTCTGAGTTGTACCTGTTTGCATCCCAGCTGTTATAAAGATGTCTGAATTAACGATGTTATTACGGTGATGAAAGGTGGTCTTAGTGTATGTTACAGAGCTTTTCCAACTGGTCCTCAGGAGCTCCAGAGAATGGGCTTGCAAGAAATACATATATAAAACAATCAATGTTTTGAAAGTTGTCAATGACTTTTTTTTTTTTTTTGCAGAGGACAGTTAACTTTATCTTACGTTTGGTATCACAGGAGTCCCGAGGCATTTAGATGTGGATCGTATTAAAGAAGACTTGATGAAAATTGAAGATGTTTATTCTATAGAAGATTTAAATGTTTGGTCTCTCACTGCAGGAAAAACAACTGCCATAGTCCACTTGCAATTAGGTAAGCTGCTATATGGCAATTTTAGTCCAGCCAGGGGTGGGGCAGATGACAAAACTCAAACCACTTTATCACTCATCTTTATGTTCTTACGTACTCACATCCAGGAAATGGCATTCTGGGAAAAAAAACCAAAAACTATCATTTGTAATTTCGTACAGTGAGATATAGAAACCATTTACCCACAAGGACAAAGTGTAAATGGAAGTTAGGCGAAGAAAGAAAATAATTTATGCTGAGACATGTTGATCCAGTAGAGAATTTTTTTTTTCCCCCTGTTTGATGGGGTTAAGTACTTCTCTTCAGAAATTCCCTAATGCAAAGATCTGATTTATGGAAAGTTGAACATGTTGCCAAAACATGCTGATATTGATATCTAACACAATATCAAGCATATCAGTTCTTGGAAAGAAAGCTTTCTGCATACCCCTACTTAACAGAGACAGTTTTACCTAGATACGGTTCCAGATAAAAGATAAAGATGTGTGCATATTGTATCACAGCCACAGAACAATAGAAAATTGATAAGGGAGTTTGAATAAAGACATCTGAGTTGGTAAGACCATGTGGTAAATATGAAGACAGTTTAATTGTGCATTTTTTAAAGGGTTGAATATTACAAGAATTATGAAATCTTTCCCTGGTTTTTGCAGTTCCTGGTAGCTCATCTAAATGGGAGGAAGTTCAGTTCAAGGCCAGACAACTGCTGTTGAACACGTTTGGAATGTACAAGTGTTCTGTCCAGCTTCAGAGTTATAAACAGGAAACAAGCAAAACCTGCACAAGTTGTCAGAGTTCCAGTGCCTAATCTCATGTGTTTTGGGAACTGCTGCCTTATTCTTTATCTTGTAGTCAAAGACTGAGAGCAATAAATTCAAAGTGAATGATAATAATTAACATGTGGATTTGTACCATTTAACATGCAGCAGGGAGAACTGGTGCTGCAACAAGTGCAGTGGTTGCCCTACAGAACATACATTTCATTCTCTCCCTCGTGCCGGTTTATTAAATTTATTATGGTTTGGAGACAAAGTTGTTTTCAGATTGTTTACAAACTGCAACGTGGTTCTGCAGATACCTCACAAATCACAGTTAGAAATTGTCTTTTGTGTACCACAGAAGTACCTGCACTCCAAGAGGAGCATCGACTATTCAGTATTTCAATTAACATCTGTAATATTATTGATCATGCCAGGGTTCCATACATTATGATCTTCAAATTCAGACAGTATTTTTACAATAGTAATTTTCATACAGTATTTTAAATTACAATGCATGCAGTGCTACCTGAATTCTTTTCTAAACTGTCTTGTTGGAGACTTGCAAAACCCAGGATTTACCATAACCAGACCAGAAACTTAGCTTTAATCTGGATGTTCAGAGATGCAAACAGGAAGATCCTTGCCCAAACTTCTGGTGTTTAACTGGAGACCCAGCACTGGACCCGAAGTGTTCTCGCTTCGGTTATCTGTAATGTATTTTAGAATAGGGTTTATACTTTAGAAGGAGGTTATTTATTTTACAAATTTTTGAGTTGTAAGATTAAAATTTATTAATAATTTTGAATGTCTGAATGAGCATTTAATTCACATTAGAAGGCCAATTAATTAGCATGCATTCTAATTATAATTAATACATGTGCTGTAACTGAACATTTTCCATGATTGCTTTATTGAAAAAAATAAAAGGATAGGAACTGTGCTTGACACAAAGGTACTCTCAAATCCAACCTACAGATGTGCAAAATACTTAAATGTACTAAAAGGCAAGGGGAGAGCAGAAGTTTCAGATGTGGTGTTCCCTCACTCTTGGATCTCTGACCTATTCGTCTTTGCTGTGAGAGCAGGATGGCAGTATTCTCACAGGACAGCCAGTACAACAGTACTGCTGAGCTCTATGAATAAGATGAAACCCAAGCAAGCTGAGTGACCTCATGCACACTGGACAATGCTATCACAGCAACCTACAGAGGCAGAAAGGTATTTTCTTATTTACTGAGAATCAAAGCAATTTGAAAAGACTTCTTTCATCCTGACACTTCAGAGTCCGCAAAACTGAATTGCTTTGCCTCATAGCCTCTGTACTTTGAATGTATGCAGGACAATAAAACACAAACCTACCTGCTGCCAATCTACCATACATCCAGGCTCACTTTTTATGCCTGTTGCTGACATTACTGGCATTGAAGCCAAGGGCAACAAGAATGACCTGCAGCGTTCAATAGACAGACAGAACTTCGCTTTGAGTATTTTTGCTTATTCTGCACTTGGGTCTTTGTGCAAAACTTCAGCTGACATCAAAAGTCTTTCTGTATGTGGAACAGAAAGGAGTTTTGGACCAGTAACAGATATAGTGGTACTCAGCTGTGAATACTTAAGCTATTGTCTTGAAACTTGATAGTGTTTCGCATATTCATCAGGGTGATTTATACCTACAATTGGCAGCAACTTGGCTTGTTTTCTCGTCTGAATAAGATCGGGACCTCTTGATGAATTTGCAGAGGTGAAAACTCACAACACAGTATTAATAACACCAGACTATGTTTGTATTTGTTCTGGCAAGAAATGGGGACACTCGAGTACAGCATGGGAGTACGTACAACTCAGACACAGAGGAACACTGTACTTGGAAAGTTAATGCTTCAATACAAACATTACCACTGATTAAGCCATATCAGAGTTAATGAAAAACGTGCATCCCATTCTTAGAAATTCCCTAAAAACAAGCAAAAAAACTCCCACCACAACAGGTATTTTGCACATACTAATTCTCAACAGGTTTTAATTAACTTGGGATTTACAGTTGATGTAATTAGTAGTTGAAGTATGGTAGACATGTAATGTATTTGGAGTTTTTTTATTGTAATGATTTACTATACTTTTGTTTAATTGAAGAAAAAGCAGAAATGTGTTGCTTTATTGTGGGTTTTATTAAATCAATTATTAAACTTCACATTCTGTCTTATGAAATATTTATTTGCATTGAGGTCTTGTGCCTTTTTCTTTGATTCTTACAGCAGTTCTTTTTCAGAGTGCCTATAAACGCTCAAGCTTAACTCAGCTTGGTAACACTGCTTAGAATGAGCTATGGCTCCCTCTTCAGTAGAAGAACTTCAGTTTTCTTGTTTCTCATGCAGTAACAGAACTTCAGAAAATATGAGCTGACAAATTATGGTGAAGGAGCAGTTATACAGCAACCAGCGAGGCATTCCTGAGGCCCTTCAGTCACACCTGAAGGGCCATTGTTATCACAGCCTGCAGACTAACTGGAAGGACTTCAGAAAAAAAGCAACAATATGAAATCTGAATCTAGGAGACAGAAATCAATGTGATTGTTGGGGGACATCCTGATAATGAAGATTGCCTATTTTAAGGCTTAACTAAGCTCATATGGATCGTTACATCTGTGTGGGCCACCTCTAATTTGTTTTCTTGGTCAAAAGGGCAGAAGTTGTCTGGCATTGCTGCATTTCACATAAGAACCCAATACTGAATTCGTTACTAATCAGCATCAAAAGGAATACACTTAATTTGCAATTCCCCTAGTAATGGAAGGGCACAAAACAGAACTGTAAATCTAACCACGTAAGAGCAATTAGTACACTTATGTGGAACAGAACAGTGTACAGCAAGTAACATTACTTTGCAGTATAGCTGCTGGGAATGTATGGTTAAATATGCATTAACATCTGTACTCTAGGAAGTGTGAGGTGTCGATGAAAGAAGTCAAGTTATCTTTATAGATATTGAAGGGTCATTTTGAGTACCACCTTGGAGAAGCATAGCATTATTGGGAATAAGAATCAAGTCTGGTGCCTTTCCAAGCAGCTCTGCAGCACATCCTGTTTATCTCCTCCGACCATCACAAGATCATTTATGTTTTTCTGTATTTCTCTATCTCCACAGGAAACCCTTTTATAGGAAATAAGAACTTGTTTACTTCTTATGATTAGTCTAACCAATAGATGCCTAAGATCAGAGGCTTCCACAGCGAGCCTCTCTGCTTTCCAGAGCTATGCCAGATTGCTATAGGTGGACAAACTGCTAAAAACCTGTGAGAATTCTGCCACCTATTGCAATCTATGTAGAAGAAATTCCTGATTTTCACATATCCTATCTTGAACCACAGATACAGCTTTAATGACAACTGTAACATGATAGAAAGCACAGCAATGACAGCAGAGCAGCAAGGTCCTAGTTTGCAGCAAGTGAGGATTTGCTCCAATGCAACAGCCACAGAAAATAAAGGAAAAAAAAAAATCTGCTTACCTCCAGAAAGCATCAGGTAGATAAGAAGCTCCAGCAAGATCCCCTTGCCTCCGCTGCCAGCCCTTAAATGAGATCTGGGAGGGGGTGGATCCTGACTGCATCCCTTCCAGTCACTCAGATGCATTGCATTGCATTGCATGCACCTGAGCTCCCATGGGTTGGCTTCCCACCAGATGCTCAATCACTGGTTCAAGCTGCTCTCCAACTACTTGTGAAAGCCAAGAAGCAAGCTGCAAGCCCTCACATCACACTATTATGTCCTGAACTATTCTTACCCTAAAAAGAAAATTAACAGAAACTCATTTGCTTTCTTTGCTTAATCCTGATTTTCTTTTCTAAATTGTGTTTGCATTTAAACCTTTCAATACTGACCACATTGCCTTCTATACCACCAGCAGAATTACTACGTGCATTGTCGTACCTGAACCTGGTCTTCAAAATCCAAAATGGTATTGTCAAGATCTCTTTTCTCCCTGGTTGCTCCAAGCACATCCTGTTGTCCCAGGTTAGCACGCCTAGCTCAGGCTTATGTTACGCTGCCTCTAACTTACTTCACTTTTCTCACTCCATTTTCTTGCAATACTCTGCTGTTTCCACAGCTTCACTAATGTCCAGTCAGCATCCTCTGTATGCGCAGCTTGTGTGGTGTGAGGTTTATGGGTGCAAAACATCCAAAAACACTGCAAGCCCTCCTTTCTCCCATTCTGTTCAAGTACGTGCTCACCTGAAGTCCAGTTCCTCTTTGCTCTCTGTATGATCTGTCTTCTAGCCTCCAAGTTGCAAACTGATATCGAAGAGCTACTCTGAAACTTCTTGATTTCCTTTGTACACAAAAACCAAAGTAGGTCCTCCCCATCCCTCCTATTTCCCTAAATCCACCTCCCATCTCCTTCTCCCTCTTTGAAGAGGACATACTGGATGCTAAATGCCGCTGTGCTTTGGGAAACCCCTTCTCTCTGCTCTTCTCATCCCATTTCCACGGAAGGCTCCAGGAAGGATGATGTGTGTCCTTTCCATCTGTGAAGTACCTGACGGCTTTAGAAGCTGGTAAAATAAACGCCGTTCCTTCCCTTTTAGAACCATCCAGATAGCACGAGTTCTGCTCTTAGAATGCAGGGACACCTGCTTTCTGTGCTTACAGCTGCAAGATAAAGACAACTCAAAACAGTTTTATTACTCCTTTACTTTTTCCTGGTCTGCTTTTTTCTCAGTATCATTTTGTTTCCTTTGAACTCTGCCAGTACCAAGTGCACAAGGCAGCCGTTCTGTTAAAGCTGTGAAGCACGCACACCTTTTGCAGCAACCATTTCTGTTGAAACAGCGAGCCATTTTGTAAACTCAAGCACATTCTTGTCCATATGTCAGCTTTCTAATTTCCTTACTGTGATGCCTGCTGGAAAGATAAGTTTCAGGGATACGAGCCTCCAAAACACAGGGGTATGTGAAGGCAGGTCAGGCTGCCTGTCCACAGGATGTTTCGTGCTCTGGGCAGTACTGATATATGCAGGGATTTTCGTGCAGCAAAATAATTGATGTGAGGAGCTAAGCAGCAACACTTTCTTTTGGCTCATGTGCATGGAGAGATCCCAACTCTCTTCCTATAACACTCACAGAACTTAGCTAATAAGTCCCCAGGGGAATTGATGAGGTGCAAATAAAAACAGATACTTGATAATAGTAAATGGCCCTTTAAATTCAAAGTGAATTTTTAAGGAAAAATACCATAATGAAACATTTTCACAGCTCAGATGTTGGTGAATATTTGAACCTACAATACAGGTACTCGTTATTTTCATAAACTCCATGTGGTCTTCTCTCCCACGATAAGAGCACGTCTGACATCAAACAGCACAGGCAGGTGTTCGAGGCCTTTCCCCAGCTCCCCAGGAGATGGTGCCCTGCCTGCAGCCACCAGGACAGGAGTGCTGTTTAATGGGATGTCACTTGATCAGGGGTGTAATAAGGAAAAGCATAAGCAGAATGCTGGTTTGCAGTTGGATTACTGGGAAAGATTAAAGATACTTCTTTAAAGTTCTATAGAAATAATACCCAAAGAGTACAGAGAATTGCCTCCCTGCAGTTTCAGGTGTGCAATAAAACTTTTCTATGACTGGAAATTGACCATGGGTAAGGCTATCAAATGCAATTAGAGCAAAGTAGATTCATTGATGTAAACAATGCTACTTATCATGCAAGCCATCGGTTTCTAGAGGATGCTGAATTCATGTTACCTGAACAACTCTTTTAAAAGTTTTATTATTAAAATAAATGATCTGATGACACTTTGAACCAAAGCCATACACAGAGTAGTAATTTTTCTTCAAATTAGAGAGAAACAGAGATAAATATGAAGCACTGTTTGCAGTGCTTACACTGGTACGATTTGTTTAATGTTTAATTGTTGTTTAATCCAGCCCAAAAGGCTTCACACAGGGGTGAAACAACTCAGAACCACATCCTCCTTCCTGTAAAGTCTTCTTTCATTTCTTCAACCTATTAAGCAATTCTGTATTTTGCAAACTTCTGCAGAGAACACAACATCAATCAGAAATTGAAACTGCCCAACTGGTTGCACAGACTGGTTTCTTAGTGCTTTGATAATTGTTTTAAATTTAACCTTGATGGAACAAATTATGATGGTCTTAAGGTATCCTTGCTGCTTGGACTTGCCATGGAGCAAAGGTCAAGGCATAGCATAGAAAATATAAAAGCAAGCAATTCCTTGGCTATCAAATGTTAAAGGGTGCGTACAGCAAGCTGTAAACAAAGACAGGTTTTAGATACCTTCACTTGTTGATAGCCATACAACGTCTTACTACATTAGATCAGTGAGCTGTCTTTGAATGTCATTGTTCCTCTGTCAGAATTATTACACTTGAGATTTCTCTGGAGGAAGGGGAATCCTACCTCTTATAGAGCAAGCTAGAAAGAAGCAGCCCACAGAGCAAGGGTCACGCACCAAGATGAGCTCTTACTGCCTGGCCCACTGTCATGGCTCAGTGGGGATATTCATACTGCAGTGACTTTCTTTAAAGTAGTTGATACTTTGTTGGTGACACGAGGTGTTTGTGTACAAATGGGAATTGGCAACTAAAAGCCAAACAAAACAGATAAAGCCAGAGCTCCATACTGCAACCCAAAAACTTTGATCTCCTTTACATCACCGTGCAGCCAACCACAGAACACACCAGCATTTCTGGATCAATTAAGAGAGTGTAATAATAAAGAGAATTGTTGCTCATGCGTCTGTTCTCTGTTGGGTTCCATGCATCCTTTCATCTGTTTAGTGAAGAATAAAAGAACCCCGATAGATGAAGAAGTTCCTTTAGCTCATGTTTTCAATAACTGATTACACATTGCTTCAACAAAATGCTGATCTCTAGCTACAGTATCAGGACACCCTTGTGCTTTAGTATTTCTTACTGAGGAGCACATACTATGTCAGCGCCAAAGACACAGCTGTGAAGAACAGACTGAGGAGTCAAACTCAGTTTCTCTTCCATAAATACATCTATAACTTAGGTGGGAATTTGCTTTTTTGAAGTGCTGCCCCATAAGGGCGTTCTCCTTGTTCTTTATATGTATCAAGAGGTGATTCTCTCAGCACGTAGCTCAAATAGGAAGATCCACACACCACCCTGCTTTGCACACAACAAAAGCTTCCTCTTTGAACTAATGAACCCAAAGGAACATGAGACATGCCCAATTCTTAAATGTCCTTCTTTTAAGAAGGCAATTCAATGCGCAGGCACTTCATACACGACATACATACATACACGACCACTGCAAGGTCTGTGGTAATAATTCCACATCTCTCTGACATCCATAACTTCAAACTGTGTTACAACTACTTTGCGTGACATATTATTGTACCATGAAAATTATGGCTCAAAGCTTGGCAATGAGGCAATGAACAGAACTGCAAGTCATTATGACCAGGATTTTGGTAAATACTTCTGCTTCTGGGAGTAAGGTGGATCTGGCAGTCTTTAAGCCAAATGCCCTATTCTGACTAACTGTGTTTCATTCAAAGCATTTCACAAGAGGAAAAACAAATGCAGTAAAGGCAGCATAAAGCTAATGTTTCACCAGACACAGAACTAAGGTCTCACTCAAGTTCTACCTGGCTCTTCTAAAAACCTGCAGCATGACTTGAAAAGGACAAAAAACATTCCAGGTTTTACTGAATTGTAGAAGGTGAGAGAGATGCATCATTACATGAAACATGAACAGCTTCGATATGAAAGAAGGAAGGCTGTTTTTATGTAGTCAGGCAGTGATTCACAACAAGCATGTGACTTTGCTTTTCTTTGGCTGTTCAATACTATTTTCCTATGACTAGCAGAGATTACAAGTAATGTTTTTTCAACCCTTATTTCCTTGTTTGTGCTGCAGCAGCATCAAGTCTGGTACGGGATGGCATTTACTTACTGCAAATACACTTGAAATAAAATAATAATGATAAAAAACACAACCAGCAACCAGGAATGAAAGAGCCTTGCTGAAGATGAAAGCTTAAACACATTATTTATAATTAATAGGTTTTCAAACTGGTGTGGTTTTCTGACCTCTCGGCTAATCTGTTTGCACCTATAGGTGCCCCATTTGCTCTCTACACATCACATCATGTAATAAATGTATTTAAACCAACTGCACTGTATTGACCCTACATAAAATCTGCAAATAAAAATCCACACATTATAAAATGCTGAAATGGGAATACAAGGAACTCCAGCTTTTCAGAACTGCAGGCCATTAATCCACATAACAACCCAGTGGGACAAGGCAGGTGCTCACTGCACCTCACAGCGTGCACCAGCCCTTTCAGAAGGCAAAGTAGAGCTCTGGCCAATGAACCACACAAGCACTCAGTTGCTGGTAGCCTACCTCTGGCCTATCAGAAAAGACACATAGCAAGTGCCATACAAAGCAGGGAAGTGGCAGGAAGTGGTTTGAAGCTGTATCTGCAAAGTGGGACAGCCGGCAGCACTGCCTTGTGACCGCATCACTTCTCAGATGTTCTTTTAGGCAACACTGATCCCCGCAGTCTATTTTTGCTGCTATTGACATTTCATCCTGAGTCTGTGGATGCTCAGTTTGACACCGTCTGGTATCATCAGTGTCTGTACAGAGCTTTCATTCACTGCAGCAGAGAATACTGCTTTTAAAAACAAGTAAACTAATAAATAAAAAAGAAATTGCTGTTATAGTCTCATATTTAAAAGCCCCTGCTTCAGCAACACTCGGAGGATGAAGTCAGCAAAGCCATCCAGAGTCTGTCTGAATGAATTTGAACTGAAAGAAATAACATCTCCCGATTTCTTTAAAAAAAATAGCAGAAAAGAAAACAAAAAGAAAGCAAGCTGCTTCACAGTCCTTGATTGGACTGCCAGCACCGTGTTCTACAAGGCTACAGCAATCCAGATGATTCACAGTATTCAGAAATAAGAAACTGCTTCACCACTTCAAGTTTGGAGTCACAGAACATCAGCAAGTTACTTTGCCATTTTCTTGTCAGGAAACAGAGACCAGTCAGCTTTTGCTGTATTAGTAAACAGAAGTAACAGTGTAAATAAATTAGACCAAGGTGCTCTGGTGTGCTTGTTTCGGTAGGTGCAACAAAGGGATGCAGCAAGAAGAAAGTGAAAGGAGTTTCACACAGAAGGCTTTGTAAGAAGCGGGCTGCTGCCTCCAGCCAGGCCAGGCCAACACAGCTGC